TATATTTATTTATTTATTTATATATATAAATTATATAGAATAATAAGGGGTTTGTCCCCTACCCATTGTAAGGGGAAAAATTCCAAGTTGAACAAATAGTAAAGAAATGTATAACTTAACAAGGATAGGACTATCGAAAAAGGTTTGTTGGTCTAATAATCCAGCAATTTAATATAAGTTTATTTTACAATAACAAAGGTTTGATCTTCTTCTCCACCCCTCACCCTCAAATCAATTGCCTTAATCAAAGAAAAAAAAAAATGACAGGACTACTCATATTTACTGTTCACTAATTTTAAATTAACTATAATTTTGAATTAAAATATATCCATATTTAATTTTATTTTAAAAAACTTCAAAATTTCATAATCGTTTGAACTCATACAAAAGGAACAGAAGTACACTTGAGATGAGTGTGTTTAATAAAAAATTTCACAACAAATAAATAAAGTAATAGATAAATATTTGTGTTAAATATAAAGAAAGATGTCATATTTTCACTCTAGTTGACGGCTTTATGTTTAGATTTTATTTATTTAGTTTTTTTTTTTTTACAAGGCTTTATGCTAGATTTTAAGTTTAGGGCTGCCTTTAAAGTCTGGTTTTTCATCACCTTTTTTTTTTCTTCGTCCAACTTTGGTTTTTCATAGCCTCAGTAATATTGGTTATTATACTAATATTTAACCCTTTTATTTAAGCGCATAAAAGTCTCTATTGTTAAATTTCCACATCACTTGCCAAGTTGCCATGATTCGATTAAAAATCTATTTACAAAAGAATATATATATTTAGAAATAATATTTTTGAATTATTTTTTTAGTATAATTTTATGTGTTATTTAAATGATTTGTTCTTTATATTTATTTGAAATTTATAATATTAAATACATCTATTTATATAATGACATGAAAAAATTGAATAAAAAAATTATCTCCAAATCTTTACCTTTTATAAAATATTTCATCGGAGAAAATCAAAATAAAGACAAAAAATTTGTAATATCTTAAAGAATATTCTAATCCTCAAGAACATGAATTTTCATTTTAAAAATTCAAATCTTAATTATAAATAAAAACAAGTTTACTAAATAAGAACTGTGTTGTTTATGAGTTAGAGCATTCCTTAAACTCAATTAATTAAAGTTTTTTCACTCTTTTTTTTTTTTTTTTAAAGTGAATTACAAGGGTTTACTTGAGAATATTATGAATCAATTAATCATATATGGTGCAACAGTGCAACAAACACTCCCTTGTCTAACTTACCCGGCCTGAGAAAGCAATCTGTTCGTGTTCGTTAATTTCCAACGCCAAGACCCTTACATGTTTAATTAAGACGAAAAATAATGATAATAAGTTGGGATTAATAATGTGATATAAGTTTTTTTTAGTAGGGTTGGAATCAAAACCGACCAAATACCTAATAAATTATCATATCATGAGGAGGAAATGACAACATGAACCTTCTTGCCATGAGATGGAAGACTACAATTGGCTACTAATAGCATGTAGATGAAAAATGTAACTTGAGAGGATTAATGCTGCCTTAACTCTATAAAAGCGAAGAGCCAGAGCACTCCCCTTCGCCACCACAAGACTCGAGTGTTGAGAATCATTACTGATATTCTTAATTCAAATTAAAAAGAGAGAAAAAAAAAATGAGTCTCATCGAGAAGCTGGAGACTGATGTAGAGCTCAAGGGTTCTGCTGAACAGTTCCATGAAGTGTTCTGCGGCAGACCTCACCACATTTCCAACGTCTCCCCTGCTAAGATCCAAGGAGTCGAGTTACACGAAGGTGAATGGGGCAAGGAGGGCTCTATCATCTGCTGGAACTATGTTCACGGTACGAGAGACTTAATTTTTTCATATCTTTAAATAATTAAAGTTTTGAAGCTAGTAAGTACTAATTCACTTTTAAATTTTGGTTTAAATGAACAGATGGGAAAGCTCAAATCGCGAAGGAGTTAGTGGAAAAAGTTGATCCAGTGAAGAACTTGGTCACTTTCAAGGTGATTGAAGGAGATCTGTTGAATGAGTTTAAGAGCTTCAAAGCTACAGTTCAAGCTACTTCCAAGGGAAATTGTTGTGTGGCGCATTGGACACTTGAATATGAGAAGCTGCATCCCGGTGTTTCACACCCAGAGGCACTCCTTGAGTTTGCAGCTGAACTCTCCAAGGAAATCGATACCCACCTCACCAGTGCTAATTAAGCAAACATATCCTTTTACATATGTGGGGGCTACTACCAACATATATATATATATATATATATATATGCTAAATAACAATGTAACATCCTTGGATGTTTTCAGTGGTCTTGTATTGCACGAGTGTTTGAATTTCTGTTTGTTTCGAATAACTACATGAATTCTGTATGTGTCTTAATTAATAATGAATACTGAATGTTTCTTTAATTTGCTTTGATATGAAACTTTTCAAGAGCTCAGTATGCCATATTGGTGCATTTGCCCTGTTCTTATTTCTCTGTGCTGATCAGTTTCTTGACTTGTTGTCACTACACTACAAAAAAAAAAAAAAATTGTGACTAATTAATTTTAAAATTGTCACTACTAAGCATTGCAATTGTGATAGAATGAAAAAATTAGTCACCAAAATACCCCACTTTGAACATTAACTATACAAATTACAAAATCGTAACTAAAATAGCATTTTATCACAAAAGAACCGTAAAAATAAAACTGCCAGGGACCTAGAAATCTCTGCACAACACATTGCCGCAAAATGATTAAAGAAAATTTTTTTTTTGAGAGGTTAGAACCAAGCTGATAATCCACAAAAAAATATAAAATTCTTTTTAAAAAAAAAACTGATCTTATTAGTTGTTACTCTCCTTTTATTTTAGAATAACAGTTATTTTTTTATATTTTAAAATAAAATATTTTTTTCCTACTTTAATTTTTTGATTCTCAACTTTAATTATCTATTCTCTAATAAAATATTTTTTTTATTTCTCACTATTTTTATATGAGATTAATATTTATCAGCAAGATATATAACATGTAAAAAGAAAAAAGAAATTAAAATTATATTATTTTATTAAAATATCATAAAAAAAGATTAAAACATCCTCATTCTTACTTTATCAATTAAGATGTTTTAGCTTTTTTCGGATAGACTTTATTAAAGTATTTTTATGCCTAACTTTTTGCAGTTAAAATTTGTATTTAACCCCTTATCTTACTAAATTTAAAACTTTTAACCATTTACTTTATATAATAAAATTTTTAATTCATGAATTTAAAAAGTTTAAACATTTTAGCTAGTAAACTAATAAAATATGTTAACTCTCAAATAAAATATTTGTAGAACCAATCCTTAAAAATTAAAAATAAAACAATTTAGTTCTGAAAATTTTAAAAATAAAAAAATTTATAAACTAAAAACAAACAGATAATCCCTCATGAATACAATTTCTAAATCAATCCAGATTGATGCTAGTGAAGTCAACTTAAGAAGACTTCAGGTTGCTCTAGAAAATATAAATCACCCTCCTGCACCACTTGGGTAATGTCACATGATTGAAGATTTTGACAGGCCAAAATTCCACAAGATGTGACATCAACATTATATGAATTTATATAATTTAAAAGAGGGATTAGTTAGAGAGCTGGGGGGTGGGAGGAAGTTAGTTGGAGATGGAATATAATTTGGAGGAGAGGGAGGTTTGGAAGAGAGAAGGATGAGGAATTGATGTTGTGGGAGGTGTTGAGTAGAGTCTGTATCAAGGTAGGGGTTGAAGATCGTTGGCAGTGGAGGCATGCTTCAGATGGGAAGTATGTGGTGAAACAAGCTTATGAGTTTTTAGAATCGACGGATGCTATTCTTAATGACTGGTTGTGTAAGTTAATTTGGTGTTGATTAGTACCGTCTAAAGTAAGTTTTTTTGGGTGGAGATTATGCCTTCAGAGACTTCCAACAAAATGGAATTTGCATAAGAGAGGTGTGGCGTTAGAGGGGGGCTTAATGTGTGGGTTGTGTAAGGAGGAGGTGGAAGATACTAATCATGTGTTTTGTACATGTAACGAAGTGTGGTTAATTTGGGTTAAGGTATTGTTTTGGTGGGGTATTGAGGTGGTGTTGCCGCCTATATTGGAGGGGGTAGCAGAATTTTTTCTGTATGGGTTGGGTAAGGTGGTAGGGAAGGAATTGGGGGCAAGTATTTTCCTTGTTACATCATGGTATATATGGTATTGGAGGAATTGTATAGTGTTCCAGGGAGATGTGGCTCTTAAGGAGGGGTTGTTGAATATGATAAAGGAAAAGACGTTTTTCTGGGTTAAGAATAAAGTGCAGGGATGCGTATTTTCTGTTTGGGATTGGAAGTTAAATCCACATGAGTGCGCTGCGGCTATGAGAAATCATAAGAGGAGGCAGAAGGAGTTCCATCAGCATCAAAAAGGACGGGTATAGATGTAGAAGTAGCAAGTTGTTTTCTTTACTTTTATTTTGTTTCCATTGGTTATAATTTAAATCTGTAATTGGGTTAGAGTACCCCTTGTACTCTGCATAATCAAGTTGAATTTTGCTGATAAAAAAAAAAAATGAATTTATATAAATGTTGTTTTTGTTTAACACTAAAATAGATAATATTAATGAACGGTCTACTCCGATCCAATGGTATGAACTTTGAATTAAGATTGTTCACCTCTCATAAATCATATATTTGAACTTTATGGAACCTCTTTTTCCCACTCTTGATTAATATATAAATAATTTTAATCTGTTAAAAAAAAGTAATATTAATATTAATTTAAAATACAAAAAAATATACGTAGTTGTAATTATTGCCCCACTAGATTTTCATCAATAATTTATATTTTAAAATGAACAATGTGAATCATGAATCTAAACAGGAAACAAAACCTTAGAAAGAAAATAAAAAATCATATTTTTTATTTTCCTAACACAAAGGAAGTCCTTTTTTTTTTTTTTTATAACAGCAAAATAAATTATTTTATATAAATAAACAATGTCCATTTCAAAAAAATTACTACAACATAGCAACAGTACTATCATTTCTTTTTCTACTCTTTTTTATTTCAAAATAACTATTTTTTAACTTTAAATTTATTATAAATTAATTATTATTTTCTTATTTTAAACTTATTTTTTATTTTTTACTTTAATTATTATTCTATCCCAAAATATTTTTCTTTGTATTTTATTTCTTTTTTAAGGTTAATATAAATAAACACATAAATTATTTTTAAAATTTTAAATTAAAAAACAATAATTATTTTAGCATAAAGAGAGTAGTAGCCAAAGAAGTAAGCACCTCTAAATTTGGTCCCCTCAACTAAGTTGTTTTGAGCAATCAATCCCATGAATAATAAAGCAAAAATAAGAAAATCAAGGCAATTTTCAACAGTGGTTGACTGCCCATGGTGGATTGTTGTTGTTAACTCACTTCTAGTCCCGACCTCGATACAAGGCTAGAATGTAACCTGGAGTATTAAAGTAAGAAAATTTCACATTTAGTAATTAATTTACACGTATAATTTTATAATTTTATAAATATTAGTGTACCACTTCTAATTTTGTGTCTTCAAAAAAATTTGCATTTTACCTCTAATTAATTGATTTTATACTAAATACTAATAGAAGAAGTATTTACCATGTTGTGCGAGCAATATCAATAACAGGGATCACCCTGCGGACACTCTATAAAAGGTTAACCCAATGCATTACTTTACCGTAAAGAAATTTAAACCAGTTAAAACGAAGGAAAGGAAAATCAAAGAAAATGTCTCTATATGGTAAGCTGGAAGCTGATGTAGAGATCAAGGCTCCTGCAAACAAGTTCCATGAAGTGTTTTGCAGCAGACCTCACCATATATCCACCATGTCCCCTGACAAGATACAAGCCTGTAATTTACACGAAGGAGACTTAGGAAAGGAAGGCTCAGTCATCGGCTGGAACTACGTTCATGGTAGATACCCAACACATACAAAATATGAAGAACTTTATATATATATATATGTACATATATTTATATAGATACAAAATCCATTACACACTAGTGTCTTAAGAATTTTTAGTTGTTACCCTGGTATGCGTGTTATTGCTTGTCATAAAATTAGTATATTTAGTGTCCATATTTTTGCTGTTCAGACTGGACTGCAAAAAAACGTTTTCCCTGATATATTTAAGATCGTTATATATATTGTTTTTTGTTCTTACGGTTGACCAAAGATGGGGAGGCTAAAGTTGGGAAGCAGAAAGTTGAAGCGATAGATCCAGTGAACAACTCAATCACATTGAAATTGATAGAAGGAGACGTGCTGAAGCAGTACAAGACCTTTGTGTCAAAAATTCAAGCTACTCCAAAGGGCAACGGCAGCGTTGTGCACTGGACTTTTGAATACGAAAAGCTGAACCAAAGTGTTGCACACCCTGAGACACTGCTTGATCTGGCTGTTCAAATGTCCAAAGATATCGACTCTTATCTCACCCAAGCCTAAACCATATTCCAAAAGGTCACATTGAAAATGGTGTTTGTATGCTATATATAATGAATAAAACCATACATATGATATGAGGAATAAAGGCTTGGGACGTTTATGGATGGTGCAACTTCAACTTTCTTTACTACGTAATTATTATGAGTGCAGTGCGTTATAATCTTTTGGATCTTTTTGTAAGGGTGATTTGAAGCTTTTATGTTCGTCATGTACAAGTTCTGCATGTTTTTTTCTTCTTTGATCAGCATATATAAGTTCTGTGCAGTATGTTTTAATTAAGGAGCAATGGTTTGAACGATATAAATAGCACGGCCGATTTATTATGTGGGGCTGTGTGGGATTATAATCAATGTTTAAAGGGAAATAATTAGTACAACTTTCAATTTAATGTACTCACTAATAATTAGTAGTCCAGTTATTAAAATTTTTAATTGAAAGTTTTTTCACCTTAAATTTAAATTTGAAAATATAAATTTCTTAATGAATGTGTGTAGAATGTGTTGAATTAAAAAAATGTTTCAGTAATTGTCCATATTCAAAATTATCAAAAAAAAAATTTTGTCCCTTGATTTGCTTGTTCTAATTAATTAAAAATCTTTTTTCTTATTTGTAGGATCCACAAATGATTAAGATATACTACTATTTTGTTAGCATCCAATTTTTTTTTTTTTTTTAATCTTAGGTTATACAATAAGAGAAAATTTCCTTTTATCCCTTAATTCACTCCACTTATATGATATGCCACTCAAAATTAAGATCTTTTATTTTTACTAAAAAAATTGACACTAAATTATTTAAATTGTAGATTAAATAGCATTTATTCTAACCAATTAATTATAAGTAGAAAAATCCATATTATATTTAAATTCATTGTTTATTCTTAGTTCATTGAGGAAGAATTCTCTCATTATTATCTTTGACTCAAATACAAAAACTACTACTATGATATAAATACTATGCTACTATGATATACATTTTATTGAGCTAAGGATAATTTTTACAATGGGGCCATGGGGAGAAATGAAATTGCAACTTGCTAAGCTTAAACCCTATAAAATCGCATGCCTATCGCTTAGGTTGGTTTGCCACTAAGCTATGAGGTGATTGGCCACTTTAATTGTATACATAATTGAGCCTTTTGTGTTTGGTTTTGACCAATCTGTCCTGTCTTCCCACGTTTTCCACCCATCACCACATCTCAAAAAGAGAGGAAACTTCTTACTCGATAGTGCGTTAGAACAGCTGGTCTTATAGGCAGCTTGGTTAAGGTGCAGTTTCCAACCCAAATCCCCTTTCCCCTTTCCCTAAAATTACACTTGTTTCAAAAAAAAGATAGTGCGTTAAATAATTGGAATATACAGTTACCAGAAGATGGTAGCTAAAAAAAGAAAGAAAACAGACTGTAGCTATCAACCAACCACCTGAAAGCAGAAAAGACAAATGTTTAACCAAAAAAATGATTAGAAATCTCGACAATTAATGGTGTTTGGTTGGCCAAATCTAATCTTTTCATTTTTTAGCTTAATATATGGTATTTATAATCAGCAATCTCCATCCCTCTACCTGCAATTTGAAATTAAGAATGCATGGAAACAAACAACATGCAATCAAATCGAGAAATGACGGCAGTAGCAGTCCTTTAGCTTAATATATGGTATTTATAATAAGCAATCTCCATCCCTCTACCTGCAATTTGAAATTAAGAATGAATGGAAACAAACAACATGCAATCAAATCGAGAAATAACGGCACTAGCAGTCCTTTAGCTTAATATATGGTATTTATAATCAGCAATCTCCATCCCTCTACCTGCAATTTGAAATTAAGAATGAATGGAAACAAACAACATGCAATCAAATCAAGAAATGACGGTACTAGCAGTCCTTTAGCTTAATATATGGTATTAATAATCAGCAATCTCCATCCCTCTACCTGCAATTTGAAATTAAGAATGAATGGAAACAATCGACATGCAATCAAACTATGAAATGACGGCAGTAGCAATCGCCCGTGAATTGTCAGTATGTATCAAATATCTTATGTTAAGATTCAAATCTTATTAAGACAATTGTAATATTTCTTCTTTCTTCTAATAGTTTGCTTAGTTCTAAAAAAAAAATGATGAGTAGACAAGGATGACGTTATCATGGAGGAAAATATTTAATATATCTTATCATTCAACATCTTGTCAACACTCACTGCTTTAATTATTAAAATTTATAAGTTTATGGTTTTTTTTTTTTGTTTTTAATTTAAAATTAAAAATAATAATTTTTTAATAAATATATTATAGAGTGTTTTGAATAAAATAGTATTTATATCAATGTATGTTTATGGAAAATCTTGTGTTGTGCATTTTTTTTTTCTCTTGCATAGCAAAAATAAATCTTATTACCTGGCGTACAATAGATTCTGCAACCCTTTACATAAGTGGCGGAACTACTAAGGCCCTAACCTTCCCACTAAAAATATTAAGAAAAAGCAAGCTAAAAGAGGGAAGGCTCAACCTTGATAATTGATATAAATAGTTAAGTAAGACATTAAATTTCATCAATTTAATACCTAAAGAAACAAACTTTAATTGCTCTTAACTAAGGATTTTAATTCTAACATTTTTTGGCCCATTAGTGGACTTCAATATTCCATAATGTGAAAATTATTTACAAAAGAAAACTTCATTGATGCTTTATCTAGTATAAGTAATAATTTCAGAATATTAAAAAAAAAAATCTTAAAATACACTTTCTCTCTCTGTTTCTCTTATGTCCATCTTCATTTCCCAATTCCAGCATACTATTAGTACAGGCCTTGGAGAATTTGCTGACAAATGCAAAAATATACAAATTGGTGCACATATAGCAACCACCAAGAGATCAAATTACATTAACACAATTAATCTTAATAAAATTGACATAATTTAGGACTTAAGAAAAAAAAGTTTTGTATATTATTTGAGAAATAATGCTCTTTAATTTGTTCAAATTCTTAAGCATAAATAAAAAGTAATTATAAAATAATAAATTCATAGTACAAACAATTATACCTTAAAAATAAGTTTGTTAACTTTTTTAAAGTCTTTCAAAATAGATTATTGTCTAACATGTAATTATTGGACAACTCATTAGTTTCTTCAACTTATTTGTTTTTTTGAAGAATTACTAACAACAATAAAAAAAAAAAAAAAAAAACTATAGGCATGACAACTCTAAACAATTACTTTGGAGACTAGTAAATAAGTAAAAAAACATACTAATAATTATCATTATTTACTAGTTATTTTTATTTATTTTTTATTGTTAATTTGAAATATTCTTTTTTTTCAAATAAGCATAGTGAGATCACTACTGAAAAATTGACACTTTTAGTCCAACTGTCATAAGGCCCTACCCTACATAGAATTATGGTTCCGCCACTGCTTTACATCCATATTAATAATGTCACAACATGAAACTTCGGCTAATATATTTACAATGCTTCCAATTCACATTTTCAAACCCACAATGGGTTCTAATATCCAACCATTGAACCCAAACCCTAGTGCCTTTGATTTCCCTGTGATCCAATGGAATGCTCTTAGTTGTGGCAAGTCCTATGCCATAGGCTGGTTTTGATATTTTGGAGAAACTAATGCTCTCTATAACCTAATAATTGAATGTGACTCTAGGAAGGTTATGTCTTGGGATTTAGGGTGAGAAGGTTCAACCATGGTGGTTGAACTTAATAAATAGGGTGGAAGGCTTCCTCAACTACGTAACATACGTCACAAATATGTAAATGAGTTGGATCAATTCGTTCATCAAAGTGTGGCTATGCAGTATTAATTAGAACTAACATGCTTGGATTTATCAATTAGGCAACTTTTACCTTCTCTTAACTTGTACCTTGTAACCCAATTTTATAACTTGTAGTGGATTGAAATACTTTTTGTACTATTTTAATATAATTTTTCTTTGCTGATAAATAAAAAAGCAATCAAAATAGATTAATTAAGGAACTCTCCATTAACTCATCCATTCATAATCTAGCTAGTATGACATACATAATAATAAGGTGAAATAAGAGGCTGAGAATAAACGATAATATTATTGTTCACTGAAGTTACATATATATATATATATATATACAGATTGAGATGTTGCCCTAATTAACTCTTATGGAAAGAGCTAGTAAAAATAGAGATATACATAATACACAAAATCCTTATTAATGCAGAATACATGATTGGCAGAACTAATTGTGAGAGGAATCGAGACTTGATATCCCTTGTATGAAATTGAGCCATGATTGGTGCTGCAGTATTATGTGTTTCCTTAATTCGCCCCCACAAGATGGTGAAGCCACTAGTGACACCGATCTTGGAACACAGCAAGGAAAATTGGGATGAAGGTAGTGGCTTGGTCAACCCGTCGGCAAGTTGATCGACAAAGGCAATATGGGAGACACGAAGAATTTTCTTATCAACGAGATCTCGATTGAAATGAAGATCAATTGCGATGTGCTTTATACAAGAATGCATAACTAGATTACTACTGAGATATGTGGCCCCAACATTATCACAGTAAAGCACTGGTGGAGCACCAACATGAATGCCAAGTTCAGTCAACAAATGTAGTACCCAAACTAACTTAGAAGAAGTAGCTGCCAGAGCTCTATACTCTGCCTTGGTTGAACTTCAAGCAATGGCTTTTTGTTTGTTGGCCTTCTAGGAGATATGTGTAGCACCAAGGAAGACAATGTAGCCAGTAGTGGAGACACATGTGTCTTTGTCACCAGCTCAGTCAGAATCACTAAAAGCATGAAGAACAAGATTAGAAGTGGGTCGTATCAGTGGTCCATGGAACATAGTACTCTTTAGATATCATAAGATACGTTTGACAGCTTGCCAATGCATCTCAATGGGACAAGGCATATACTGAGACAACTTATTGACAGAAAATGAAATGTCAGGACCAGTTAAGGACAAGTATTATAAGGAGCCAACTAATCTCCAATAATCTATGGCATCGAAGAAAGGTGGAGAACTTGTGTGAGGAGACAACCCTGAAGAAGACATGGGTGTTGCAACCAAGGTTGTCAAAATCAAGATTTTACTTAAAATCGTTTTGAGTAGGTAAAATCGGAATCATAAAATCGAATTGGTAAAATCAAGAGTTTATTAAATTTAATAAATAAATAATAAAAATTTATATTTTCATATTAATATAACTAAAATTTTGACAATAAAAAATCAAATATAAGATTAAAATTTATAATAATTCTAATAAAATTAAATTTTAATAATATAATATATGAT